TCTCTCTCTCTCTCTCTCTCTCTCTCTCTCTCTCCCTCTCTCTCTCTGTGGGTCGTACCACTCACTGCTGTCGCAACACGACATGCCTCCAGTGGGACGAGTGGATCAGCATAGACTCCCCCGTACTCGCTCCTGCGGGAACGATGACATACCAGCCGGGAGGTCCGCTTCGTGTTGGCCATCGGGTGGAGGTCCTGGACGAAGCTAACCAAGTGAGACACAGCCTTTTTATTTCGTCTACTGTACAATATGTACATACTTGTTTCGCTTGTGGTGCTGTTTCGACGGACAAGCACGGATGTTAACTATGCCTATCCCCGCGCCAAGTATTACGCATGTACATAAACTATGCCTACCCCCGCGCGCGCCAAGACCGAACAAGCGTTTGATTGTGTCTGTTGAGTGCGGGGTTGATATTCTCCCTTTCGTAGAGGCACAATCAACGGGAGGCATCTGACGGCATACATGCGTGTTGTTGGTAGAGTAGAGAAAACCCCCTTTCAGCAGGTTTCAGTCTTCAATAGGCATGGAAACTTGCTCTTACAAGGTTGTTTGGTGGCGGTATTCTAGATAGCCGCTTAAAGGAAGAGAGCCAAATAGGTTGAGCTTCGGCGTCTTACCCAAATCTCATGAATGTCATGCTTCCATTGACGACCTTCACAACCTGCTTGTGGTGGACTCATTTGCGCTCTACAGTACTGTAGCTCGAGTGGCCAACGGCAGTTTTTTGTGGGACCGATCGTGAAATGCCAAATATGGGCGACATCTTAGTGATCTCGTACACACTCTCCATTGTAGACGACAGTGGTTGTCTCTCATATGACAGTTTTTTGTTAATTGTCGAAAGTCATCCTAGTTTTACCCGCTCGTTTTGCACACAAGTGGCTGGAAGCCGACGTGGTGGAAGCAGCCGAAGATGGCCGCGCCCGCGTGCACTTCAAGGGCTACTCGAAGAACTTTGACGTCTGGGTGTCGCCGCACGGGGGTCGGGTCCGCCAGTACGGGCCGCATCGAGTCGCGCCGAAGGGGGGCAACAGGTCCTCTGCCAGGCAGGCTTCGCTCGCCCCCGGACAGCAGCACGTGCGGCAGATCGCCCAGCTCAGCAGCCGGTGAGTCCTCTTGCTGAGGTAGTAATTGGAGAACAGAGCGGCTTTCTCCCACTCACTGCAAAGACTTCAACGAATCCCCTTCCACTGCTGTGTAGTGTTTCTGTGATTGTATGCATATTGTATACATTGTAAGATGATACTGAAGAATCTTAAAGGACAAGACAGCAGTAATAAATGGTGGCGTTTTGTATTCTAGCGCCAACTAAAAGACCATATACCGAACTTTACTTGGCGGGGTCTACGCCCTCTCTAGCTTGCTCCGAGGGAACATGGGTGTGCCGGGTGATTCGGCTTGTCGCGCTGCAAGCCAAGAGTTCCTGGACGGTGGGGCGGGCAACGGACGTACGCTACGAGGAGCACCCATGCGCTACAGTACGTGCCCTTGTCGTTTGCCCGATCGTTGTTCGAGCTTCATTTCCTCTGTTGGTGAATCGGCTGTACTGCCGTAGGAAACGAACGCCCTTCTTCGTCGGTTTACGAAGAAAGTGAGGACCCTTCTTTTTACCTCGCAAGGGTCAGCTCCACCGGTTGCCGTCTAACATTCTGACACGCAGCCAAGGCTTGCCATGTGTCCCCCGAGTCAGGGCGTAGACATAAGACAATTTTCTCGCCTCCTTTTAAGAAAAATAATGGTAGGGATATGTCATTATGCTCCCGATACGAGAGGGACCTAGTTATGTTCCCGCTGTTCTTTTTTCCGACAGCGGTCGTCCGCGCACTGGCGTGCCTTGACAGGTACGAGCACTACCGGCGTGCTTTGGGCAGCCGCGGCCTGCGCGTGGTGCCGGTAGAGGGCGACGGCAATTGCCTGTTCCGCAGCGTGAGCCACCAGGTGTACGGTGATGACAGCCACCACAGGCTGGTGCGGGCGCGCTGCATGGATTACATGGAGGTAAGCGAGGGTGTATCGTGATGCCACTAAGCGACGTGGGTTGCGCTTGATTAAGACGAAACTGACCAACATAAGAGATAGGAGGGTGCGGGATTGGTGAGGCGCCAGGGGATGTGTAGTACGAGTGAGCTATCGGGTACAGCAAGGGATTGCGAGTAGTGCTATTTCGAGCGTGTTAGTTCTCGGCGATAAGTTGGGTTGGGTTTATCCCGTCTTGTTGCTTTCGAGTTGGCGTTTGCGGTTCTTGTCTCTTGAAAAGGAGTGTAGCTTACGTGCAACGTGAGGGAAGAGCGCCTAATATTGCTTCAAAGGCGTTTCTTCGCGTTAGGCGTCACCTCACACGAGCTTGGCGACTGGTGCGAGTGGCTTCGTGCTGTCTTGTCATATGACCTTGTGTCGTGGACAATTGTAGTCCAATTCCCAGCGCACCTCGTTGTTTTTCACCCCCTGCTACAGAGTGAGGCTCACTTTTTCGAGCCTTACGTAGAGGGAGATATGGCTGCGTTCCTGCGGTATCTGGAAGTGAAGAGGCAGAACGCGGTTTGGGGCGACGATCCGGAGGTACAAGCTCTGTGCGAGATCTACGATAGGCCGGCGGAGATATGGGCGTACGATCCTCAGGTGAAGACAACGAGGGATGAAAGACGACAACGTGACGGCGGTGGACTCAAAAGCTAGTGTTGTTGGTCACGCCTATGTAGTCGTGCAACAACAGTGGGCGTGGAGCACCGCGCATTCACGGCGACGATGACGTTGCTCCGTAGGTGGCAGCATGCCAACCCTTCCCAGCCGAGCCGAGCACCAAGAGAATTGTCCGCTCAGCTCCGTTGCGAGCAACTCGCCGAGCTGCAGCAGGCGATCTTTCGCTTGGTTTACAAGCTTTTAAGATCGGCGTGCGTCCGCCTGTCGCCCCGTTGGTGCAGCGAGGCAGCGGCGAAAGGACAGCCATAAATTTCGCTTGGTGCCTTGAGAAGGTTGGAACGTTTAACACGAGCCCCGCGGGTAGCCGGGCCAACTGATGGCATCCTCCCCAGACGCCCAGGTGATCATGCCCCCCCCCCCCCCCCCCCCCCCCCCCCCCCCCCCCCCCCCCCCCCCCCCCCCCCCCCCCCCCCCC